TCACTTTTAGGGGAAATTCTAAGAAAACGTCATGACTCTGAGAATTTTCTTAGAATTTGGCCGCTAGGAGCCACTTTTTGCACAAAGATTCTTTAGGGATACGGGCCCTGTACTCTTACAATGCAGCATGAATGTGTGATTACACACCAGTTTCCTGGTGCCACAAACACACAGCTGTCATTGTTTACCAATCTGTGTGGAAATGTGAGTAAAAGCCTGAAAAAAGTACAAATTGTTCGGCGGCAGTTCAGTTCATATAAACATACTGAGGAAAACAATATGCAAAGCCACGCCCAGCTGTGCGGGACAGAGGCAATGCTAAGGTACCACACTCTGTTTGGAGTCAAAGACATCTCCTGGTTTAACAAATGAATTCAAAGTCCTTGCAAAGCAGTGAAAATATGTCATCTTTTTTGGGATTCACGGTCCGTCTCACTTTCTTAGCCAAGAATCAGGCCAGCGAGCTGCCCAGCATGCATGCTGGCTGCCCCCCTCTGCCGGCGTGGAGCCTCCTGTGACTGAACTGGATCATTAAAGTCATTTAAAAAAGAAAAAGAAGCAACGTCGACTGATAACTGGACTAAATGCAAATGTTATAAAAATTCCAACGCATCAGCAGGTGTAGTGATCGAACACTCACGTTGGCAGAGTTTCGAAGCTTGCTCCAACACTGTTCCCCAGCGACAACAGATGCTCTGCTCCGTCTGTGGCCCCACCACAGTCACGTCCTCCGTCCACTCTGCTGCACTGGCTCACTGACAGCTTGTGGTCTTCAGACAGCTCGTGGAAATGCTCGTCCACATTCGTGACAAGTTTGGGACCCATCTTAAAGGAATCAGCCTGCCAGCAGAGGACACGCAGCAAAAGATGTAGTCATGCATGTGTTACACGTATGACACAAGACCAAAAACACAACACGCACAGCTTCACACTTCACTTCTTTTAGTAAACAAAGAAAAATTCAATCTTTGCAAAAAACATTTTACCAGCGTATTAGTGTGTGCAGAGCGAGTGATGAAAGGAAGACACGGGTACTTTCTCCAGTCAGTTGTACTCGTACAGTTGTGAAAGTAATCCGAGTAATATTCTGTACTCCTGTGAAACTGCAGGAACACTTACCCCACAGTACTCCAGCAGCTTGATGATCTCCTCTTCATACCGTGAATTAATTGCATATTGCTTCTCCAGCTGTGTCCAGTTCACTGCTTTACTCAGCACACCCTGCACACACACACACACACACACACACACACACACTTTTCAGTCATTAACTGTTCCTCCTGCTCAAGAAATGATCAAAATGCAGATAAACATACAACTTTAACCCCTGGAAGGTCCTAGAAAAATGCACACACTATCGGGCTTAGAGCCACAAATCGACCACGCCCAAAGAAGTGCTATAAAAATGTCTATATTAATATTTTATTCCACTTTAAAGTCTTCACCACAAATAAACTCCTGAAAGATCAATAAATGTCAGCTCAGCCAGACTCCGTATCAACAGTCTTATCTGATTTTGATAAACTGAAACAATCTGACTCCCAGTTTCAGCTGCACTCAGACTCTGAACCATGAATTTAACACAAGTATTGGATCAGTAACAGCAGCTTTGCAGGCAGAAACAGTATGAAAGCAATAAGAAGTGAATGTGTCCTTATAGATGTACAGCAGGTAGAACTGCTCCTGACCGTGGTGAACACACTGGAGGCTGTGGACCAGGACAAACAGGGAATTAGAGGGATGGGTTTGGGCCAGTTGGTCACTGCCAGGGACGCCATCTGGACACAAAGACACACAAGTGACACACTTTAGAGAGATAACACTGGGCTTGCAAGTTTCTTTCCCCAAATGAAACCAAGATGCTGCTCTGTCCCACTTTACGAACTCGGAGGCTTGTTCTGTTGAAGTGGAAGCTTCCCCACCCCCAACATGAGCCCATTGGGTGGGGGACGTACTCTTTAACTTAAACTTAGATTCTCTCTCAAAGGTTCTATTAGGAAATGTAACAAAACCTGGAAATCATGTCTCTTACTGGTGGACACCATCACTTTACTTCCTGAGACTGAAGTGAACTGAGCGAGGCTACATCATAAGTTTGGTGTTTTTTTATTGGATCTTATTTTTCCTTTTGTTTAGTTTGCTCCTTCTTGTTGTGCTTGTTGTGTGTATGGGTGTTGAGACTGGATCTCTGCGGCGTCTTGTCTCGTGTGGACCTGGTAGGGGGAGAATTCGGATGGGGGTTTGCTGTTGCTAACTTTGTATGTCGTGGCTGAAATCAATAAAACAAAGTTGGAATAAGATGCTGCTCTCTCGTATAACAAGATCGACAACTAAACATTTAGTGGTAAAATGTTATTTGACAAGTTTCTTTGACTCACATATCCTCCCATAGAGATGCCCGTCATTCCCAGGGGCCAGTATCCTTCTCTCTCCAGCCAGCGAAGCAGGACTGTTGATTCCAGGATCAAAGCCCCGCCCATCACAAACAGGTCCGACACATTTTTTAGACTGGATCGTCTAAAACACTCAAATGATATCTATATTCAATTTACGATACGTTCATTTGACCTTTGAGAAAAATCGAGCCGTGAAGTCTGTTTCTAACAACATCCAACAGCTCAGTGCGTCTCACACAGTCTGGCTTTGTCAAATGAATCCGTTTAGAAACAAACGATGCTTGAAAACGACAGCCTTGCATTTAAAATGTAAATAAAGCCAACAGGTGTTTGAATCAGCCCATAAGTCTGATTTGGAAACATCGAGGACGTTTCTGCCTCTTTTCTCCTTCTTGTTGCAAACATGAAAACTAAATGAGAATCTTTGTCACAAAGTTAAAAATCACTTTTTTTAAATCGACTAAATTTTCCAAACCAACAACCAAACTGGTTTTAATCGATCAAGTCAACTTACAGTTGGTCTCTGGGTTTTCGATAACCATGTGAAGCATCAGTCAAGGAACGTTCGGAGCAGACATTAAATAAAAACAACAACATGACACAGCTGTCTTCTAATCAGGTCACTGGATCGATTCCCAGCTCCTCTGGTCTACAAGTGTCCTCGGGCAGGATCGTGAATCGATGCATCCAAGTGCGTCTGTAACAGAAGTGCTCTATGAATGTGTGTCTGAACAGGTGGCTGGTAGTGCACTCTGTTTACAAACAGGAACTTTCCACAGCATGTTCGTCATGTGCTTGTTTCAGCATCGTACTGGTTTGTACACTCGCTGACTGAGTTTCCATGTTTGTCGTGAGTTACTTTGAAAGAAAGTTAACAACAAACGATGTTGTTGTTGAAGACAACAGAAGGATATAATAAGGGTTCTCCAGAAGTAATGACGCCATTCCTGCCTCTTTGATCATGGGCCGAGCCATCAGGGTCCGCCGACGCCAGAAAAACTACAGGTCATAGAAACACAAGGACAGAAACAGCATTCCAAAGGTCATCATCACAGCTCCTGGATCCTACAGATTGTTGGGGTCAGTTTCCAGAGATAACCACACACTTTGACACCATTTATTTATTAAATCTTCTCGTCTGACGCGTTTCTCTGCTTCACAGTAAATCTGGACCTTGAACCAAGTCTGCTGCTCAACTTCTGAGGATTTCTTGCAGTAATGTCAAAAACACAGCACAAGTCTTAGGTCTGAGGAATCATCTGGTCCCTAACAGCTTCTATAATTATGCAAATATGACCTCAAATGAACAACAGCACTAAACATACGACTCTTATAAGTCAGAGGACTGGAGTTGATCTGGGGTCTGGACTGTGACGGGTCATTTCAGCTCGTCTGTTACAGACTTGCTTCTGTGGATGGGATCATTGTTCTGCTGCATGAGCCAGCTGTGGTCAGCTGCTGGACACACAGCCTCACATTTCAGTTAATGTTGTGGTATACAGAGGAGTGGGTGGTCCCGGGGTCTGTGTATCGATGCAGACACAGATCATCCCCTCCACCTTTGTGCTCACTGTAATCGGTGGAGGCAGGTGGCTGCTGGGTCTTTCCTCCTTGGTGTTAATCGACACCTTAATGCTCCAGACTAACAAACTGCTAAAGCCTACGTAGTTTTTCACCCACTCAATGATAAAATGCCACGTGAGGTTTGGATCACCTCGTTTTAGAACCACGGGGGCTCACTACGACATAAGCTGGGTTTCTTTGTGTCAGCTGACACAAGGCGTCCTTCCTCTGTGTGCATTCACATGAAGGGAGTTTGACCCCTTGGATCCAGTGAGCGCTGCCTGCTGTGACATTATCAAAGCACACGGGATAGAGAACTGTAAACAACACGAACATATGTAACAGTGCTGCTGCAAATAAAGACATGTGAGTCGGTCTTGCTGCAGAAAATATTAATTTTGTGATTTGATGATCACGAGCTCACGTCATATAAATTCTTTCTTTCACTGCTCGGTGCACTCTGAGAGCTGCTGAACATCAGAGCACATTGAAACGTTACAGGTTACTCTGTGTTTGGGACTCTGTCCTATAGCCTGATAATGGATGATATACTTGGTGATAAAAAGCTACTTTCTTTATATCCATGTGCTTTGTTTTGCATGATTGTGGGAGGGAAGTGAACACTGCTCGTTGTTATTTCAAAGGAAAACAAGATTGTCAGTGGCCTTTACTCCAGGGGTGTCAACATACGGCCCACTTTGATCTGAGATGGTCTGGACCAGTCAAACTCCGCTTCTGTCAGTGTAAAGAAGTTACAACTACAACTGTTTTTCTACTTGATAAAGAAAAAGCTGCTGTGGCAAAGACAGAAATCCATCAGCACAACTCTGGACTTACATCATTTGATTTTTTTGGTTTGGTATTGTAAGTATTTGTTTCAGCATTATGAGTTCTGTGGCGGCTGCCTGGGAGCACATTCATATTAAAATAAAGGTAAGAGTCTTACATGGTCTCCAGTCCCAGCTAAGTGGATACATACTGGTCTGTTCTTCTGCCATCTCTTAGGAACTATGAACTGGAACCTGGAACAACACAAACGATGAGAGCCGCAGGTCTCCAGGCAGCATTCAAACAGCATAAGTAAATCCTCTTCAAACATTTTCAGCACAAACACAGCTTACATTTCAGCCCTAACGACTCATGTGGCTAGCTCCAAATTCAGCAAATACAACCTCAGATGGAGCAGAACATGGCACATTAAACTATATCATTAATTAGGGCGGGGCCATATCACACCGTTCACGGTAATACCGGTGTAATGTTGGGCAACGATAAGAAAATGAAATATGGCGATAGAATATGGGTAAAATGCGCAGGCGCAGTGCCTTTGTTTACATTCCCACATGGCGGCGACGGAGAACGAGAAGAGCGAAAGTGGATCGTTGAATGAAACGATGAATCTGAACTGGTTTGTAAAAATGCTGCAGCTTCACTGGTGTGGAACTGGTTTAGCTTTCGTCCGTCAGATACACAACAAAGCACTATTTTTGGTAGAGCATGCTAGCGGGCCGTCGTTATTACCGTGTTGTTTGGAAAATACGGCGCACTTAAAATCAATCCTTTGATTTTTCTGAAAGTCGACAGAGCCCCTTATAATCCCGTGTGCCTTATGTATGAACTCTGGTTGTGTTACTGACCTCGAAACGATTTTATGTGCACGGCGCTCGAAAATCTTTCAGATGTTTCAGTACAACTTTGCTGAGCTACGAAGCCGCACCGCTCGATGGATTGTCGGAGCGTACGGCTGTCGTAGGCGGAGCCTCGCGGAGTGATACGTACTGTGCTTCAACATAATGTTACCGTACTGTGTGTGTATGACCTCTTTTTAAGTTTTGTGGATGTTATACATGGTTATGCTGAGGATACGTCGGCCAGTTTCCACTGGAAACGCCTTTTGGTTAAACTGGCAGCACGGATTTGCGTTTGCACTGTTAAAGTTTATATAACTTTAATGCACTTAAAAAAAGCTGCTTGTTTAAGTGAAAATACATTGATGGGTTGTTTTTATTTTGCACTAATAAAGTTGTAAAGTATTTTGTCTCGTGTCAATTATATCGTTATGGCAAGTTTTCAAATGTATATCGTGATAAATATTTTGGTCATATCGCCCTGCTCTATCTTTAATTGTTTAATAGAAATTAAGCCAAATTGCAGAAACACTCTTATTGTTTGTATAAGACTTAAGAACATTTAAAACACCAGTGCTAGTCAAAAGTTGCTACTTAAACTTAAAGCACAATGCAAACGTTCCTCTGTCAGGCCTCCTCTGTGGTTTGTTGGAAGTGAAGGTCTAGTATTGGAGGGTCTGGGCATCCATGCTGTTCAGGCAGTTATGAAGAGCAGCTGTTGCATTAATGACAATGCAGCAGCTTCTTGGTGTGAATCGAAGTGCACTCTGAAAACGACGCCTCCAAACGTGCTCCACTAGACCCCTAGTGTGCATATGGCTGTAGCACCTTTGCTCAGGTGTAATTCAGGTGTGGTGTAAACAAAAACTTTGAGCACGCCCACTGTCACCAAGCAACAATAATGATCATCTCCTCTTCCAAACACAGTGATGACTTAAAATCCAGGAATCATGAGTGACACCTTTCAAACATGAAACAATATTTGAAAACTGTAACTGGGGAGTGCATACACCCTGGACATTAATGGAAAACCAGTTCTTGGGATTCCTGTATTGCTCAGCATCTGGGATGGAGCGACGTTTTGTGGTTCCACTGATGCAGCCGATGACTCCTGGAAAGTTCCCAAATTCATAGAACTTGTAATTAACTCAGGTTTCAGCATCTGGGAAGTTTATGTACTGTCTTCTCAATCCACAAATGGTCCTGCACACAGTGAACAACACTGTTGGTTCACCGAGCCCACATAAACCCCCAGCTTCTCTGTGGAAGCTGCCAAAAGACATAAAGTTAAGAGCACCTGCAGACTTACTGGACTTACTGGGTGAAAGACTGGGTTCCAAAATGAAGTGATCTCCACATCATTTACTTTATGCATTCGAAACGAGCTCGAAAACTGATGTCATCAAAAAGCTTCAGTGGATGACTTCTGTCAGCAATTTGTCTAGCAGACGGTTTTCATTGATCATCTCTGAGATTCTCCAAGTAACCCATGTTATTCACCAAACAACATGAACTCTGAAGTTAAACCTGCCTGCTGGGACGTTCTATTTAAACTTCAGTTTATGCCTGGACTAGCTCTGATCTCCCTCCAGTAAACAAGCGTAGTTTAGTCAGGAATAGGCTTAGTCTGGCACTGTTTATACCGTGACTGAGGAAGCAGATTTCTGTTAGTCTGCATTGGCTGTTTAAATCTAGGACTAGCTTTAATCTCGGTCTGGGAACCCGCCCCTATAGAGCGCCTCAAGTGCTCAGGTAGAGTAGATAAGCACTAGATAAGAACCAGTCCATTTACGGCTGCTATAAACAAGAATGGGTCGCTCTCAGGAGCTCAGTGACTTCCACCAAAGCACCGTGACAGGATGTCACCTGTGCAACGAGTCGCTGCCATAGATTTCACAGTCAGCTGTTAGTGGTATTATAACAAAATGGAGGAGGATGGCTGGGTACCATTACACAGCAGGGTCAGCTTCAGCTGAATTTTTGTTAAATAAATAACGACGCTGTAACTTCTGCACATCTGAGGTTGTATTTACCTGATTTGAAAAATTGGTAAGAACAAGATGTTTTTAAGCATGTGCTGATATGCAAAACCTCAGACGTGACAGAGGCTGTATGTGTCACGAGTTCAAGAAGTTTGAGGGTAACAATGCTGGAGAAAAGAAGGAAAACTAAACCGAACATTATGTTGCGTCATTTTCTTGTTCCTGTTTTTGTCTCGTCTTTCTCTAGCTGGTCATTGCATGCGTCTGCCACCCTGAGCTTATTTTCCTGTAACTATAACAGAAAATATTCATTAAAAAAAAAGGTTATTCAATGAATGTTTCAAGTTTAAAACAATAACTGAATAACTTTATTTTAAAACCCCGTCTGTACGTTTTAAAGACCCTAAACCAGCATCCACTTGGCCCTCTGGACAAAGCACCGCATCAAACTCGGACACAACCCATTCTCCTGTCTATTCTCTGCCTCCTTTCATTGCAGTGGCAAACAGCACCTCTTGTACCTGGCCTTTACAGCCTCTTGTGGCAGGATCCCAGGAACCAAATGCTCCAGAGGAGAGATAAAGAAGCCCTCTTGGACATGACAGTCAGCAAGCTCCTCTGTCTGCACACAAACACACAAATAATAACTAATAATACAAAAACAAAACAGCACGAGAAGGAAAAGAGAGGAAATAAATGATGTACCTTGTTTATATAAACGGGATAGTCCTGAGGAACCAGAGACTTGCACTTCTCTCTGTCTCCAATTATCTTTCGAAACTCAAAGATTCTACAAAACAAACAGACGCATCAGTTTGCAGCTGAGGACGCGCTGATCTCATCCACGACCTGCTCACTGTAAGCTGGAGGTTACCACCTGATGAAGTGCGGGCGAAGGCAGCTCGACCACCACTAGCTCTAGGAAATCACATGATAGGGCGGGGCCGGGTTTCACAATGACCTCACCCTGGCTGATTGTGAGCCACACCCGTTTTCACGCCTTGGCTCGTGTGATTGGGTAGAGGATCAAGAGGGGGTCCATGACCCTCTTGGGGGGTCTCACTAATTTAGAAGATCATTTAGCCTAGAACAATATAAACTAATGATAAACCAACAATTATAGAAAAAAAGACACCTTCCTGCTCATCACTGACTGAAGAACCAACCCCAGCTGCCTTACATAAGACCGACACTGACTGATCCAGAGTTAACTTCAACTATCACTTCCTCCAAACCATCAAGTCTATTAGATTCAATTCTAAGCTGCCCAAATAAGTACTACCATTAATTAATGCTTCAGTCTTAAATATGATCAGTCTATGCCACCGATGGGCTACAAACCTTTAAGGTGGTAGTAATTAAACTGTGCATTACTCCTCCCAGCTCTCTTAGCTAATTATAGGCCAATCCTTCCTTTTAATTTCCAAAACTCTTGAAAGAGCAGCTGTGTGTCTGTAAAGCAGTTAACTGGTCATCAGCTACAGTACTGCAGAGAAACTCAGGGTTGTTCTTCAATGCGTGATGAGCAGGAAAATGCCCTAGCTGTGCAGAGGGCTGTTTGTACAGCAACAAACTTTTTCCAGGCTGAACGAAGATCTTCTAAATTACTAAGACACCATTTCTTCTCAAGCTTATGAGTCAGCTGCTTTACGATGTGTGTTTAAGACATAAGAGAGTCAAGTACTTGTGATTTGAGGTTTTGTTTTTGGGTCAGCATATCCAGAGTCGTACACAGTGAGGATGTAAGTCTATTAACGAGACGATCAACCTGTGTGGAGGGTTTGGGTACTGTGTGGTGCACAGTACTGAAGAGCATGACAGAGGAGGAATTATGTCCTTAAACTTAGTTATAACACTTTTCAAGACATACTGTCAGCTAATGTATTCCCAAATGCTGTGTAATCCATTATTGTAACTTTAAAGAATGATTTCATCTGACCTGAGTACTAAATCAGAAAAGTCTGAGTACAGGGTGGGTCATTTCTATGGATACAGCGTAACAACATGGGAATGGTTGGTGGTATTAAAGTCCTGTTTGTGGCACATTAGTATATGTGAGGGGGCAAACTCCTCAAGATGGGTGGTGACCATTTAGAAGTCGGCCATCTTGGATACAACTTTTGTTTCTTCAATAGGAAGAGGGTCATGTGACACATCACACTTATTGGTAATGTCACAAGAAAACCAATGGTGTGCTTGGTTTCAACGTAACTTTATTCTTTCATGAGTTATTTACAAGTTTCTCTTTGTTCACAGCCATTGACATGTCGAAGAGGTTAACACGTGAGGAGCGAAATCGTGTTGATATCTGGTGAACGCAGTAACCGGGTCATTGCAGCACATTTCAATGCAAGACACCCTACGAGACCACACATCTCCCATGCTACAGTCAGCAAACTGCTTGCTAAGTATCATGAAACTGGTTCAGTGTTGGATTTGCAAAAATGTAGACGCAAGAAAACTGTCACTAATGAAGAAACATCAGTGGCTGTCCTCGCTTCATTCAGCAAGAGCCCACAGCGTAGCACTCGCCACATGTCACTGGAGAGTGGCATTAGTCGAACATCCCTTCGGCGGATATTAGCTACTCACAAATGGCACCCTTACAAACTCCAGCTGCTGCAGCATCTCAGCGAGGATGACCCAGATCGGCCACAGAATTTGCAGAATGGGCAAAACAAAAACTGGAACAGGACCCTCAGTTCACGCAGAAGATTTTGTTCAGCGATGAAGCAAACTTTTATGTGAATAGTGTTAACAAACAAAACCAGCGCTATTGGTCTGACACTAACCCACATTGGATGGATCCCTCCAAGACTGTTGGACCAACAAAAGTGATGGTTTGGTGTGGTATATGGGGGACAACGATAGTGGGTCCATTCTTCATCAATGGAAACCTCAAGGCTGCTGGATATTTGAAATTGCTACATGATGATGTGTTTCCCTCTTTATGCACTGAAGCTGGCACGTCCCCTGAGTTTATCCAGCAGGATGGTGCACCACCACATTATGGGTGCAGGCCCGAGCATTCCTAGATGAACAGTTTCCTGGAAAGTGGATTGGTCATCGTGGGCCAGTTGAATGGCCCACAAGGTCTCCTGATCTGACCCCCTTAGACTTTTATCTTTGGGGTCATCTGAAGGCAATTGTCTATGGTGTGAAGATACGAGATGTGCAGCAGCTGAAACTACGGATACTGGATGCCTGTGCTGGCATTTCTCCTGTGGTGTTGCTATCAGTGTGTGAAGAGTGGGAGAAGAGGGTTGCATTGACAATCCAACACAATGGGCAGCACATTGAACACATTTTATAAATGGTCAGAAACTTGTAAATAACTCATGAAAGAATAAAGTTACGTTGAAACCAAGCACACCATTGTTGTTCTTGTGACATTACCAATAAGTTTGATGTGTCACATGACCCTCTTCCTATTGGAAAAAAAGTTGTATCCAAGATGGCCGACTTCTAAATGGCCACCATGGTCACCGCCCATCTTGAGGAGTTTGCCCCCTCACATATACTAATGTGCCACAAACAGGACTTTAGTATCACCAACCATTCCCATGTTATTACGGTGGATCCATAGAAATGGCCCACCCTGTAGAGTAAAGTGGGCATCTACAATTCCACCCCTCAGGCAGGAGGCTCCGGTCCATTCGCACCAGAACCTCTCGCCATAAGAACAGTTTCTTCCCCTCTGCTGTTGGACTCATGAACAATAACCGTACGACTGTTCCCACCACTAACACATGACCACGCTGTGTTCACTGCATCATTCCATGTTTGGCACTGATCACCACCTGCACTTATGTATATATCTATCTACTTAGCACTTAATTTTTATGTTTATTTAAGCGTTATCTGACAGTATGTTTGCACTGAAGCACCGCAGCAATTTCCTAATGTTGTAAACCTGCTCAACATTTGGCAATAAAACCCTTTCTGATTTTGATATCACAAAGAATCAACTTTTCTTCTGTGGTTGGCTTCACTGTGTGGTTGAATTTAGCACAACTGCAGTACTCCCCGACAGGACACTTGCGCTGCACTTGCTAAACGCAGGCGGGAAACCGTTATTGTTTGGTGCACGTACAGAAAACATTGGGTTTCAGAGCGCAGTGCATGCCCCGTGCTATGTGAAAGGGCCATGACAAAATGCTTCATACCTCTTGAGGTCTTCAGGCTTCCCCCATCCCCCAATAAAGAGTTTGGTGAGGAGTAGCCTTCGGTAGAATACATCCAGTCGGCTCACACCCATGGACCAGCCCCTGGCATCTACAAAGAGAAGGACATGCTTTATTCTGAAAGTGCTTACTTCCTGTAGGATTGTTAAGAACAGAAAATAACAAAAAAAAGTCAGATGCTAATACATCTTTGTTTGACAACTGAGCAATATACCTCCCCCAAAAAAGGTTAAACGAGTCGCTCGACGAGCACTGATTCCTTTGAGTCAGTCGTGTTCTGTCAGGACAAGCAAGGCAGGAAGTGCTTGAATGTCCAATGTAAAAATGAGGATACATGAAGACAAAGGAAATTTCAAATCTCACAGGAAACAGTAGTTTGCATCTGTTTTAAAAGCGTGTCTTTCTCACAGTGATAACGGCTGGAGCCCAGTAAGCTCAGAGGCCAGCAGTGTTTTTCTGGTGGTTTGTGCATGTACATTATGGATAAACCACTGGTCTATGACAGTAAACTGATGGGAGAGCAACCTGCGAGACAAGCTGCCAATGGGTCTGCTTTCACTGTCCTGAGATCAGTTAGGACTAGTGCTTGGTATGGAAAAAAGCTAGCATTAGCAAGTAAATAAGCTTTAGCATCGTAATAGACAAGTTTCTGTTTGCTAACCACTTGGCCAACATGATGCTAAAGGGTGAAAAAGTTGCTAACTCCATTAGCTGACCATTATCGAACGTTGGGTCTAATGACACTGGAACACTGAACAGCTGCTTGAGCACCACTTACATAGCTGCTTTGCCAACACTCCTAATTCTGTTTTTTATTCCTATTTTAATGTCTCCTTGAATATACAGACAGCTAACCATGTCTGCTCAAACCTTTTAATTCAGGTTATTATATTGTTAATAATCATTTTTGAAAAATCAAGACTGATTTGGATATTTTCAGTGAAAAATACATTGAGGTTCAGACTCTGCCAGCATTTAATGGCTGAATGTTAACTTGTGAACAAATTCAACAAACAGTTGAGCATCCTGTATTTAACAACTCGCTCTGAAACACATTTCATCCCACTTAAGTCTTAAAATAACTTCAGCCTAGTCTTCACTCAAACATGTGCCAGTTCCCTAATGTGACAGACCTTTTCTCAATCAGTGTGACTGATTACAGCATGAATGACGACTGCAGGAAAACTGGCTGACATAAGCATTATCATCTACTGAGGCAGGGTTAGAAAGATGGAGACAAAACATTTTATTCTTAAAGTCTGTCCATATATATTGATGAGTGAATTAGTGTAAAAGCAGTTAAGTACAAAAAAAGCAAACCAGATATAACAAAATAGCAAACTGTGCACTTTGGCAGTGACTTTATGAATGAGGAAAGAGTGTCAGAGAGCTGGTTGAGGTGCAGCAGGAAGGGATAAGTCAGGAAGAAAATCTGCCAGCGAGCACGTTACGTTCACATAGTCTGTCAGCCACCACCTCACAGTTAACAGACTCATTTTTAGCCATCTTCCTGGAATAGGGCGCAGATCTCAGTCCAACAGAGTACATTTAAGATGTGACAGAACAGAGCTGCCGAGTAATCTGAAGGATGATGCAGATCTCCCATTACACTACTCTGATGAAACGTATCACATTTCTCTTCATAAAGTGATATTTCCCCGGTTGGTTGCATTGCCATTTGAAACTGAGCAGATATAAGAACATAAACAAATTTATATATTTCATGTGACTTCTCAACTCTAGCTCTTCTCGCGAGATTTGACAACACTGACATGAGCAGAGGTCGTCAGGGAGGTCTGGCGGCTGACTTGACCTAAAGCTTGATTAGTGCACATTTCTAACAGTGAGCCTTCAGAGGAAATACTTCCTCCACATACTCGGATCACGACGGCGCTTTAGTTTTATGACAGAAACAAATCAGAACAAAGCTGTCAGTGATGTGCGGTACAATGACGGGGTGACTCGTAATTTCCATTTCCATGCATAATCATCACCTTGTTACAGCATAAAACGCTATATCGTCTTCCACTGGTCGCTGTAGGTAGTAACTGTAGTAACAACAACACGCTGACAATATAACGCAGAGACCAGCTGCACCACGGACACCCGCACGCGCTTCAACTTGCTGCTAGCTGTAAGTTAGCAAACTTCGCCTTAGTCATTCATTAGCGAGTTTCAGACCATGCAAACACAGAGAGAAACAACAGCACTACCTCAGTCTGTACCCGAACGTATATCTCTGGCTTTGCTCGCACGGCTAGTTGAGGAAGGCAAATGTAGTAACTTCGTCAAGCTACTGGGAGGAATGGTCGCAATTTAAAGGAAAAAACGGTCGGAACTTCCGGTGTTCCAGATTAACCGGTTTTCACGTTATCTGGTGTTTGTTAACGGTACAACCTGTCAGAACAAGCTCCAAGTTTCAGATTCGCCACATTTTCAGACATTTTCGGAAGAAATTGAATTTTAAAAGACGCGTGTTTAGTTCAGAGTATCAAACATGACTTTTTAAAGATAGAAATATTTTTTTTAAATCTGTAAGATCATTATTATTATTATCGATAAAATGAAATAAAAAATAAGCGACTGTTCCCCGGACGACAACGGAATATTTTACAAGCCATTTTCATCAGCGGGTTAATTACTTTCTTGCCTTATTTCGTTTTTTGTGGCAGCAACAGACACGGCTGCCGGGTAGAAGCAGCATGCTGACTGGCCACACTTCCAGCTCCTCCCCTGGCTTAGGAGGGACGAATAACTGAATCCATCTTTTTTATTATAAATTTATTTTGCCCGAAAAGCCAGAATCTCAGGTTAAACCTCACAAAATTTCAACAACCACCAAACAGCTAAAACCGTAAATGCGAGCAGAAACACGGATTCTGCACAGAGACGTAAACAGCATCAGGATCAGTGAGAGGTCCCACAGCGGGCCCGCGCTTTGTGTTTGCGCCCTTTTTGCGCTGATTCTGAGCTGCAGGTTTTATCTCTCCAACCAAAATTCACCAAACCAGCAGCAAAAGAAGCAGCAAACTGCGCTTCGCATTTGATCAGCATCGTCATGAATTCACTCTGACTTTCGCTGTTTTGCTTCCACCACACTTCATGCACAGCTCTCTCTCTCTCTCTGTACTTCAAGAACAGTTTCCGTCTAAAAACCTGTTTTCTGCATTATTCGCTTGCTTGTTACGCACAAGTCTGCCGTTGTTTGCAGCGCTGTGGGCCGCTGTTTTTTTACTTTTACTTACTTCCGAAAAGAAAACCTCATTTCTGCTGTTCAATACTGAACAAATTTCAACTTTTTAAAATTATGCAAAATTGCAAAACACTCAGCTGTGTCTCTAATCAAACCTCTGTAACTTCAGCAGCATCAGCTAATGTTCATATGTTGATTAATAGTTTTCTTTCGTTTTTGATGTACTGCAGAATATTTTTATAAAATCCCAGAACAGGAAAATCACCTTCATGTTTTTCTGTGTTTTATCTTCAGCTACTTTGACACAAAGGCCTCTGCTGTGATGCTCACAGCTCTGATAAAGTCTGGCAAGTGTCAGCTTCCTTTTTATAGATATAAAAATGTGGAAATGTACTGATGCTGTAGCAGGAGACTACTGTACCCATAAGGCTTCACCCGAACGTGCTGAGTCCAGTAGTGATGGGATTTCCGGCTCTTTTTAGAGAACCGGCTCTTTCGGCTCCCAACCGGCTCTGCAGGTTGTTTTGTTGCTTTAATTCATTTATTATTAACAATAATATAAAATTATGCACAAAAGGAATTACTAATGTAAAAAAAAAGTATTTTTATTTATATATGTTTATATATAAATATATGTGGTGGCCCCTAGAGACAAAACACGTACAAACTTCAAAACACATTTCTAGCTTGAACTGAACTTCCAAAGCAGCCTTACTACATGCATTACTGACTATATAAATTTCTGTGTGGATAACACTGTACCTACCAGGACTGTACGGTGTTTCTCCAACAACAAACCTTGGATTACCCCAGAAATTAAA